AAGAAGGCCTCCTCAGCCAGAGGGACATCTTGTGACTGTGACTGAGTTGGACCAGGCGTGGGAGGCAGCGCTACAGCAAAGTAGCGCACCGCTTGATTGTCAGAATAAAAGGTCTGCACCATGCACTGTCTCCAAAGCGGTGCATCAGCTGATCTGGCTGACTCTGATGTGTGCACATGAGCAATGTGCTGCTTGACCTTGTCGAGTGTCCTAAAGGCATCTGTGCATCCAAAAGTGCACTGGTAGCCCTCATGGACAGCTAGCTCCTTGATGAGGGCTGTGGGCCACTCTGTGCGTGGCGCTTGAGGGCCAAGCACCTTGTAATCAGCCAGCAGGCTGACAAGCACTGTTAATTCTGGCCCAGTCACGCTGTGCTTGTACAGGTGTTGCGTGATGGCATCCTTACCTGGGCGCACACAGCTTGCGCACTGTAGGCAGGCAATGACTTGCCATTGAGGGAGATATGGGTACTGCAGGGCAAGGGCTTGAGCGCGCTGCTCAGTGGTGGGAATGGTTGCGGTAGACATGTTAAAATTTGTCGAGGGGAAGGGGGGTTTGGGCAGGAGATGATGCTGTTGTGCTCTGAGTAGTAAGTGTTTGAGTGAGTGATTGACAAGGGAAGGTGGACTTGAGAGCATTCAGAGCCCCATCTTTATAGCTTAGGAGCCTGCTACCAAGCCAGCGCATCAACAAGCCAAGTACCACGCATGATGAGCCATGGCCATGAGCAGTGCTTGCCTTGGTGACCGGCTGAACAAGCATCACTTGCACAAAGAAGATCATCTGCTACGTGCAACAAGCCTTGTCTGTAGTGAGAGACAAGAGGTCTTGATGCGTACAGTGGTGCAGCCACACGCGCACACCAGCACCAACGCGCTCATTGTCCTTGCACAGGCCCATCTTGGAGATCTCGTCACCGCTTGCAGGTACTTGTTCTGGCAGATCTAATTTGACTACATCAAATGCCCCTATCACAGCTTCCTGATGGTGCCATTTGTAGCTCATTTGGCAGCATGCTCACCGTACACCAGCAGGTCAAAGTGTCGGTGCCAGGGACAATGAGCGCGGGCTGTGAGCGGTACGCGTCACTGCTTGGGCACAGAGAGCGCACATATAGTGGTGCAGCAACGCCAGCACAACAAGAATGACGCGCCTGTTGTCCTTGCGCATGCCAATCTTTGAGTGCTTGTCACTGCTTGCTGGCCCTTGTTCTGGCACAACCATCTTGACTGCGGCAAATGCCCCTATTAAAACTACCCAGTGAGCGTCTGAACAAGGCAATTGGTGAATGAGAGCCTCCAGACCGGGCCCTCAAAGTGTCGGTGCCAGCGCACGTGTTTGGTGAGAAGTTGACGTGCATCACTCTTGGATTGTGCGCGTGTTCTGTGCTCACTGAGGCACCATCTGAGCAAGCAAATTGCATCACACAAAATACGCCTATCACAGCTCCCTGACGGTGCAATTGGTATCTCATTTGGCAGCATGCTTGCCGTACACCAGCAAGTCAAAGTGTCGGTGCCAGGGACAATGAGGGCATCTGAGAGATGTTTGGCACGCAACAAAGGCGTGACGGCCACCACGGCAGGCTGGGGTGCGGCGTACAAATTGATACATGCAGCGGATAATTTACGCGTAGCGCACGCGCCTGCGTGGCGCATCTGTGTGGCGCGCGCACGCGTCTGTATGGCAGAGCATGCGTCCATATGGCAGAAATCTGCCTGCGCACTTTTACGGCGTAAAATCTTCAAAATCAAGGTCCGCGGACGTCCGGGCGCGTCTTTTTGGCGGGGTGCGGCCTAGTTTACGGCGTAAAATCCTCGACTTATACCAGTAGGGTTCTGGGTGCTGCTCTACCCAATGGCTCTCCTGAGGCCCCCCTAGAAGCCTATAACACAAACTCCAAAAACCCTATTCCACCACCCCTTGTAACCCTAACCCTGACCCTCCAAATGCTGATCTAACCCAACAACCAATGCATCTAACCAACAATTCACACCTTCATCATGCTCCTATTGCTCCATTCCACCTGACTACACCCCTACCACCTTCCATTCTTGCCCATCTTCTCTCAAAATGCCCCTTTCCTCCACACCAAACTTTTACACCCACAACCCTTCAATTTCCCCACCCCACTCTCATTTACTTGCACTAACACCTCCTTACTTGCTGACTCATTGCCCACTTTCACTTCCCATCCCTGCACTGCTCTGCATCTCCCCCACACACTCTCATTTACTTGCACTAACTGCCTATCATCACTTTGCTGCACCAACCTTTCATTGCTTCACTGCCCTGCTTTTCTAATTCCTCTCCTCTTTCTCCATTGCCCCTCATCAACTGACTGACCCTCTCTCCTCACAGCTCTCTCATTAGCACGCACTAACATTCCCCCCCTCACTGACCCTCTATTCCCACAGCTCTCTCATCAACACGCACCAACATTCTCTCACTTTCTTCTTGCTTCTCTGCCACACTCTCATTAACATGTGCTAACATCACCTGATCCTTTTCTTCTTCACCCACCTCTCTTATTTACTTGCACTAACACACTCTCATTTACCAACTTGATCCCCCCTGCTTGCTTATCCCCTCTCTTATTTACTGACTTTCAAGTCCTCAAATCTCTCTCATTTACTGACTCTTCCCTGCCCAATCCATTGCACAAAACCCTCTTATTGACTGACTCTTTGACGCCTCTGTGCTGGTCTCAAACTCCTTCATCTACTGTCCCTGAGTATCCTGCAAACATCTTCCTGCCACCAATTCTTGTTGCTTGGCTGTTCTACACTCTTGCCCACTGCCTTGCTTGCTCCACACCCCCTACACATGCTCTGTATCCTTTGATTGTTCTGCAGCCTTGCCCACTTGCACTATCATTCTTGCAACTCTATTTTGCTCCATGACTATATAGCTCTCTCAACCACTGACTGCACAGACTGCTTGCATCCCAGCATGCCCCTGCTTATTGCTTTGTGCACACCTCACAACTCTCTCACTTCTACGCACTAACATCTCCCACTGCGTCAAGCACTTCTACTTGGTGCACTGTTTGCTGCTGCACGCTTGCCCGGCGTGCGGCACTGGCGTGTAACTCCTTGGGAGCAACATGAGCGAGCACTTTGGTGCGCGCCTGCTACCAAATATACTCTGCCGCGCGCTGCACGGGCTTATCCCTCACCCTGACCGCGGCAAAGCCGCACGCTGATGCACCCACGCAGCAAATCAGACTCGAGTCATGGCAAAAGAGCGCAAACGCTCGAAATTCAACATGCACTTCGGAGAACATGTCGAGCGACGCACAAATACATGGATGATTGAAGCACACGTCCTGACGGTTCAGTATTCTCACGAGGCATTCCAGTCGTGCCAACGATTCGCACAGAGCTGAGCAGAGCCCCCTGTAGACGCCGACGCCGGCGTTCGATTCGACTTTGCTGCTTCGTACTCGCCGCGGTGGACCAAGCGGCTCTTCATGAGGCTCCGAAGCTCCTTGCCGTGATGGCTGCTGGTTCCCCATTCATTCGCAATGACTGCACCGCCCCGAACGGCAGAGCATCTAGAGAGGGGAAGCGCGCGCGTTCGCATCGCATCTCAGCCGATACGACATCCATCATTGAGATCACTTGAAACTCACGAGTCGCCTGCGCTCACTTGCAGAGGCACGTGATGTGGTGCTAACGCACGCAGTTCGTGCTCCCTGACAATTGTGCGAGTGAGAAAGGAATCAGGAGGTAGCTGACCTACTTTACCAACTCACAGTCTTCTTTGCATCCCGGTGATGTGCGCGCCGCCGCCAATGATGCAAACATTTGACCAAAGCATCGCCTGCATGTCCGCCGGGCACGCCTCGATCGTCAGCTGGATCAACTCGGGCAAGGGTGCTTGGTTGAGGCCTGTGGAGAGCGGGCGGTGAGCGTGCGCTGCGAGCGATTGATGGGCACAAAGACGCACCAATCAAGCTAGGGTTGAAAATCAGCTCGGGAATTTGGAAACGCTCGCTGGAGAGCGTGAGCACTTGTTCTTCCTCGTCGCCGTCGCTGGCACGCAAAGGGTTGGATATCTTGGCGCGCTTGCGTTTCGATTCGCGAGGCGGCGCCATCCCGTCCGGATCAAAGTCAGTGTCCCCGTCTTCGTCCTCTTCCTCGCCGTCTTGATCGCCACTACTGCAGCCTGAGACTACGCTCTGGCGCGTCAAATCGGCAATTAGGCCGTCGTCGTCGTCGTGAGCGTCCGACGCCCCTGCACTCTCCACTCGTCGCCTTTTCGGGGGTCCCCGTATGCGACCCGGCCCGCTCCTGATGTGGCCAGTCGAATTGTCGGAGCCATCGGGAAGTACGTACTCCTGAGCGAGCGGATTTGCACCCGGCTTGGCCGACCTGCAAGGTACACAAATGAGGCTAGCGCGTGGATGAGCACGCACTGCTCTTCGAACACTCACCTGCAAAGCTCCGTGCAAAAAGCAAAGCTCCACAGCGACGGAGGCAGGATGAGCGCAGGAGCGACGCGATGATCAGCACGTCCCACGCTGCTGGCGACAAAAGAGCACATCTCCTTGACTTTTTCGACGATCAGCGTTTCGTCCATAAGATCGTATTGCCGAAAGGATAGCGTCTCTTTGAGCAGATTCGTCAGCAGCCGGCCGCTCACATCGAGTCTGCAAGGCGAGGCGTCAGGTCAGTGGTAGACGCGATGCGATGCGATGCGATGCGATGATCACCTGCTCCTGCTCACCTCTTGACAGCATGCCACGCTATATCCTCGCCAATCACGGGCACCACGTTGCAGCCAGAGTGTCCAATGTCCACGATGAGGACAGCTTCTGGCCGTGGTCGCGCATGCCTCGCACTCTCTGCGCGTCTCGCCTCGCTGTCCGTCGTGCGCGCATCGTACGATGCCAGCAAGGCGGCTGCAGAGCGCATGCCCATAAGACCGAGTCAGCGCGAAGGCGAGTCAGAAATGGGGCGCGCTCACCGGTAGTGATCCACAAGGAAGAGGCGCCATAGGCATCAAACAAGAGCGCCGTCAGCCCCTGCTGCTCTTCCGGGAAGCCAAAGTAGGGTTGGACGAGAATGACGCTGCGACCTTGGAGTGGCAAATCTTTGCTGCTGCTGCCGCCATGATCTGTAGCCTGATTGATGCGCGTTTTCGGTGAGGATGCGGATGCTGAGCGGGAGGGTGCGTTGGGAGGGCTCATCGCCGGCGCGCTGCTACCTGCACCCTTGGCTTCGGAAGAGATCCTACGGGCGCCCTTTTCCCTCCCACTGCCCTTGCCCTCATCCCTTCCACTGTCCTTGCCTAGCGTCTCCTCCTTTGCTAGCGCTTCGGCCAGAGCCTGATCGAGCAGCACCTTGCAGGCTGCCCAGTCTGTAATGTGACCCCGGTACATGGGGGTGCGGATAGTGTCCAGACCGGACAGATCGCCAGCTCGATCGATGGCGCTGCCCACGAGCGTCGACTTGCCCTTGCCGCGCGCAATGCGATTTGGGCTTTGCGTCAGAGTACCGCCGAGGTGGATGCGAATGGCAGAGGAGCCCAAATCGATGACTACTGGGCTCCGCGTGGAAGCGGAAGTGCTCGCGCTGTGTGTGGACGTGTGTGCTGGCATCTTGAGCGCTGCAGCCGGGGTCTCTGGTGGTGCGCACGCACGTCAACCGCCAGGACGGTGGATGTGATGGTTGAATGCGGGGTGCGTGGAGGTGAGGATGGTGGATGTGTGAGTGAGCGGGGGGATGGCTGGCTTGCACACGTGCATGCACGCATGCACGTATGGGCGACGCTCACGCTCGCGCCGCCGCGGGTGTACCGTACTTCGCGGCGGCGGTGTACGCGCACGCGCACGCGCACGCTCGCAGCCCCTCCTCCCCCCTCTTGCTACTCAACCACGACGTTGCGCTGAGCAAGCGCGGGGATATGCGCGCCATGTCTAGCAGCGACGACCACGGCGCCGACGACAACGCATCGCTGCGAGCCGCGCTGGCTTCCATCCAGCACGCATCCCAGCAACTCTCCTCCTCCGATGCCCAGCTCCGCCACGCCGGTGAGCAGGCACTCCTCGCCTTGAGGGACGCCGCTGCGAACGAGCACGAGCACGAGCACGAGCACGAGCACACACTCCGATTGGCCTGCTACGCTCTGCAGCATCATCCCCTCGATGGCGACCCGTACGTGCTGTTCGAATGCCTCAACCTCCTTCTCCTCGCCCTGCCCAGTCTGCACATTGGCGTCGACGTCGACGATGAGCGCACAGCAAAGGGTCTCGATCGCACCCTCGACTTGCTCCTCCACTCTGCCATCCATCGATCCCAGACGGCGGCCACAGCATCGCCCTCCTCACCGCTTTCCACCTCGGCATGGCCAGCATATGTGCGGGGTAGGTGTTACCAAAGCATTGCTGCTGTCCTCAAGAAGAGCCTGGCGCTGCACATCAACGCTGCCTTGCGAGCAGCTCCCAGAGATGCGTCTCGTGCCCATCAGAGCGCTGCGCATGTCCTATCCGGTCCAAGCAATGTCCTCTACGCCTTGCTCGCCGTGCAGCCCACCGACGCGCAAGAGGCGCTTGCCGTCCAGGCGCGATCTGCCACCGCGCTAGGCATCGCTGCAGCGCTGGTGGACGAGCTGGGTCTGACAGCGCGACTCGAAGTGGTAGAGGCTTCGAGATGCACCGCAGAGCAGGCTGCACCCTCTCGACGAGGTAGACGAAGCAAGAAGCGCCCAGAGGATGATGCTAGGCACTCGGCAGAAGCGGGCACTGCGGTGGGTCTGACGGCAGAGCAGCACCTGTGGTGCAAGAGCGCTTTCCAGGTGCGTCACCCACCCTCCAGCGGGCATCGACAATCTTTTGCGGCTCACGCCTCTCTCCCACTTGGCAGATGCACGTCCTGCCCCAGCTGGCTAATCTTGCTTTGCAATCATTGTACGCGACGCTGCCTTCTCAGCCGCTGCATTCTAGCACATTGGGGGACCCTGCTGCAATCCTCGTCGCCCGAATCGTGGAATGGAGATTCTTGCTGCGGGATAGCATAAGCCTGTCGATCTCGAGAGGCAGCCTGGCCGATGATGTCACGCACGACGACGGCGCATTCGAAGAAAGTGCGACTCGAGCAGTACCTGCCTCCTTTCGCAACGTCCTCTTGACACCGGACATCGTGCACCTCCTAGCAGCAGCGTATCGTCATGCTCTGGCCAAGCAAGACTCTAGCGAGCAGTCCATTCACCGCCTACGCCGCTGCATCATCGATGCGATCAGTCTTGCGCCCGCCGAAAGCGCAGATCAAGACGAGACTCGCGTCGCGCGGCACGTCGCGCTGCTAACGAATCTGCAGGCTCTAGCTCGCGAAGAGTGCTCCTCGAACGCAGCAAGCAGCACCGCCAGCAGAGCAACTGCGACGCTTTTCATGACAACCGCTTTCGAGTCCTTTTTTGCGACATTGTCCGTCCAGTCGCTCGGCGAGGCTTGTGGAATCACCTCGGCAGACGCGGGAAGCTTGCCTGCGCTATTGGACACCCTCGCCACGCTCACGTCGACGGTCCTCCACCGCGCTTTCAGCGAACTCGTCGATGAGGAGGAAGAGATCGTGTACGACCAGGCGATCGATGCTCTGCTACGAATGTGGAACACGTCCCTCTCACTGAGCGCAGACGCGGATCATACCCTGCGCACTGCGTTTCGCGGCATCATCATCCACAATGTGGTGCCCGCATATATTGACGGGCGGATGCTTTCTGCTCGCGCTGCGATCCTGAGCCAGCGCGAGGACGAGCGGTCAGAACACGGTGAAGAGCGCGCATCTGACGCAGAGATGTACGAAGCGCAACTTATGAGCCTTGCTGCTCTCGCTCGGCTCGACGTTGGGAGAGCGTGCCAACACCTGCTCCAGCACGCTCAGCCTGTTTGTCAACAGCTCGGCGGAATAGCGTCTGGCGAATTCGAGCCAACAGACGCAGCCAGCTGGGCCCAGATGGACGCTGCGTGGGAAGCCTGCCACTGGCTCGCCTTGATCGCTGGTCACGTTCTGGCGGACGATCATCAAGGCGAGACGGCGAGCCTGCCCGAGGCCATTTCTGAAACCGAACTCGGGGTGAGTCGCGTGATCTCGATGCTTGCAATGACGCGCACTCACCATTCCGGCTCCAATCCTAGAATGAGGACATCTTCACTCTTCTCGTACAATTGGGAGTCAGCTTACCACATGATCTACTATCAGCAGCGCCCGAACGACAATGCTCGGCGCAGCTTATCCAGACGTTGTTGTGGTTCAATGCCCGCTGGACGAGCGCATACTTGCTCACCGAGGCACCTGGGATGCTACATCATTTCAGCGGCCAGCACGGCGCCTCCACCCTCGCCATCATGCTGCGCGACATGACAAAGGCCTTGGATCGCTTCCGCTCCGATGCAAGCGTCGTTTTGCAAGTGGCCAGCTTTCTGGCGGCCCTTGCCCGATCAGCAAGACTTGGAGAGGCTGCTTTGCAGACTACCGAATTCCACGAGCTCATTCTCGGCGTGCCCAGTCTCTTGGACAGTCTCCCTGAAGACACACAAGGCGAGCTGATCCACGGCATGACGACTTGCATATTTGCGGCTGCTAGGTCCAATCCAACGAAAGCGGAAGAGCTCTTCGAACATTTCACATTTGCCGTGAATTCGCGCTTCCAATCGACCCTGACGAGCAGCACTTTCGCATCGACGGCGCAGCGAGCCGACGTCGTCATCACCGTGCAGACACTGCTAGACGTGCTCACAGGCTTTAGCTCCAGCATCACGCCAACAAGCTCCACTCCGATCTTCAACTATGTTGCGCCTTACTTTGAACCTCTTGTGGGCCTCGTTGAGATTTACAAGGATCGACCAGAGGTTTGCACGGCCGTCATTGCCTTCTTTGCCACGCTCGCTGATCTCATCGACTTTGATCCGGTCTTTGGCGATCCCCAAATATCGTCGACCTTGACAAACATCATCTTCACCTTGGTGCAGGCGATTTCGACTTTTCCGCGTGCTGTGCTTCCCAGCTTCGTGCATGGCGAAGATGACGCGTTAGAGGGCTTGGCTTTAGCGCTGGAAATGCTGACTTGTCTGGTCGAAAATGGCGAGGCGAACTCGCAACTCGCCTCGCATCTCGACCCCGCTTCTCCCATCGATGTTGCCCTTTTCGGTTTTGGGACGCTTGCGCATGCCGTCTTGTCCCATGCCGGCGCCCTCGAGATGCCGACTATCCGACATCACCTGCTCGACCTGTCCAATTCGCTTCTCCAACGAGCCAGCGGGCGAATAGCCAGCCTGACGATGCTCGCTTCGCACGTCGACACTGCAAATATGAGCAGCACTGCATCTTTTGCAGCTCGACTTGCTGCGTGCGTAGGCAAGACGATGGAGCTTGCACTCGTGGATGACGATGCAGACGTTGCGCTGTCCACCCTTGAAGGGGCCTCCATCCTTGCGCGCGCCATCGTCGACGTGTCTGCGCCGGCTCGAGGTGCGTGTAGTGTGAGGGAGCTGCTAAATAATTCCACTGCTAACGCTTGCTGCACTTTGTGACCTTTTCAGACGCGACCCAATTGCAGCTACTGGTAGAGCTTCTCGCGCACCTCCTCCAAATGCTTTCCACCTCGCTCCTCATCGAGAGCATGGATCGTGCCACCTTTGAAGCGAATTTGCTGGCCTTCCAAAGTGTTGTCCGAGCTTGTGCCACTGAGCATCTCGGAGGGCAGATTACGCTAGTTGCGTGCGTGCAACGCGTCCAACACGAAGCCCCTTTGTACTCCCGACGAAGCACCGCGCGGCATGTGGATGAGCATGCGCGTCGCACAACATTCTCAGACGCCATCGCCAAGCTCGTGCAACTATCCCTCACAAGCACGCCGGCGCCGGCGCCGACAGTCAACCAGCCACCACTCTCCGCGTTTCAAGCCAGAGCAGCCGAGGCGAAACAGGCAAAAGCGAGAGATGCAGCCTTTGTGAAAGCGGCAAGCGGTGCAGCCACACGAGCTCGCGCAGCACTGACATTTCGATAGAACTTTGCACGTGTAGATTAGCAAACCATGCGTCATTAACTCGTCTACGTCACATTCGTCGGATTTTCTAAGAGGATCACTTTTGAAAGCTGTTGTCAGCCGTAGCGGCGCTATTGTCATCCGACTCGCTCTGTTTGGTACCTTCGCCTCCAGCTTCGGACCCTACTGGCGTCGCTCCTTTTGGACCGCCGGCAGAAGTCTCCTGGATGATGCTGAGAGAGTGCTTGAGGCGCGTGGCGATGCTGGTAGAGTGTGCGTGTTGCGCTTGAGCATAAGCGCGGGGAGACACGGCTCCACCGAAAATGTCGACGTCTGCATTGTCGTCCAGTTCCGTCTCGTCCTTGTCGAAGAGGTCGCCATCTTCGGCATCTGCGACCTGCGGGCCAATAGCGTCGCCCCTGTTTGCCAGCTGATCGGCCACGAGACCGAGCCCGACTGGCTGCGCTCTACCCGCGCTCACGCCTTCTGGACTGGCAGAGGACGTCTCCTCCTTCTTGGACCTGGCTGCGCTGACACCCCTGGGCAAGCCTTTAGCTGGAGTGCTGGGGCTCAACAGGTTCGGCGATCTGAGACCGGCAGCAGCAACTGCTGCCCCGACCTCATTCTCGCTCTCGCTCTCTGTGCCCTGCACCATGCCTAGACTGCCGGGTGCCAAGACGCTAAAGATCTGATCCTCCGTCTTGGCTGGCCCGTAGGCTGAAAAGGGATCCGGAACCGTGGAGAGCATATTCTCGAGTACAGGGTCAGACAGGCCTTTGGAAGAGATGCGCTCATGAATCTCCAATTGCGATCTCAGCAAGTGTGCGATCTGACAATCCCACAATGAACGCGAGTATTAGCCACGTGACACTTGGGCGACGCACCCGCCGCACCCGACGCACCCGACGCACCCGCCGCACCCTCCTCCGCACTTTGCTGCTCACCTTTTGGTGGATGAAGCCCCAAACCTCTTCTTCGCCTTCGAGGACTTCGTGGTAGTAGCTGCTCTTTACCTCGTCCAGCGCATCCACTTGCGATTGCAATTCTGCCAACGCCCTCCTGAAGCTGTTCAGGTCGCGCTCCTTGCGCCTTCCCGTGCGCATATTTCTCGCCTCCGTTTCGCCCAAGATTTTGCTCTTTTCGCGAATCTCTGCCTCGTGCGCCACTTGCCTGTCCGCAGTGCCAGCGCGATAGGCATCGTAGTGCTCCAACAATGGGATGCTGAAATCTCTCCACAGCACATCTGCCAGCAAGCTCTGAGAGTTGGCCAGCAAGTGATGCAGACCTGCAGCTGCTTGCAAGCCGCTGCCAGCCTCGTGAGCTCCTTTTACGCGGCTGCACGTCTCCATGGCAGCTGCCATGCCAGCCGATGCGTGGCTCATGGCCAGCATGGCCGAGGTGTACGCTTTGCTGGCTTGAAGCAGCTCGTCGTAGGCGGACAAGGATGCCCTCATATCCGCCCGCGTCACCACCAAGCGAGGTCGAAGAGAAGAGTCTTGCCCAGCAAAGGCGGTGGATGCGTGCGTGGTGGCGGACAAGGTGGGCGAAGGTGGTCCTGCGGACGCGGGTGCAATCCCAGGCATAAAGGCGCGCCTTCGCAGATCCGAAGGACCGGCCATTTGGGATGAGGGTGTAGCGATTCCTGATCTGTGAGCCATGGTGTGCGTGCGTGCGTGCGTGCGTGCGTGCGTGTATGCGTGCGTGCGTTCCAATCGTCGTAGTGGATGGGGGGAACAGTGGTGAGTGCCAAGGAGGGATGGAGCTGGACGAGCGAAGGAGCGAAGGAGCGGGCGATCGATCGATCGTCGCGCGCAAAGGACAGGATTCATCAAGCTTGCGCGGGGCGGGGCGGGTCGCGCCTCTCACCTGCTGCGTCGTTCAAGGCGTCACTCAACACATGATGCATGCGCGCGCGCGCACGCGGTGTGCTTTCAGGGGCGGCGCGCACCTTCAGGGCTCGGTCACGTGCGTGCGTGGACGTTGGACGCCGTTTTAAACTGCACACGAGCGGTAAATGGTTACACCTCGTGCTGAACGGGTCCCTCACCCCGATCCTCTCGCCCGCCATCCGCAAGCCGAGTAGGTGGCAGTCTGACACGAATGAAGCCAACGCTTCCTTCAACGTGACGCTGCGAGCGACACTCGATGGGATCGGTAGCGAGGAGAGCGATCATTCGTTGCACCGCAAACCCGCTGCTGCCCTCCTTGTGCGCTGCCTCGACTGCAAAGCCGGTGGTGGGAGTGGTGGTGGTGCAGTGCCAGTGCGCGCTCACGACGGGGCGCGATCGCGCAGGGCATAGCCAAGCAACTGCGTTAGGTGGGCTGTGCACGAGCGCGGTGCATCATTTGCATGCTCAAGGCGATACTCAAACTGAAGCGTCGCAGGATGCCAACATGCCGCTCTACTACGCCGTCGCCCGCGGGAGAGAGCCCGGCATATACAATAGCTGGTCGGAATGCGAAGAGCAAGTCAAGGGTTATGCAAATGCCAGCTTCAAAAAGTTCAAGTCATCGCAGCAAGCTCAAGACTTTCTGCAACATGGAGATTATGCGACGGCTGCTGCTGCTGCTGCTGCTGTTGCCTCTCCTTCAGCTTCCGCTTCCACATCAACGCTCGGCGGTGATCGCTCCCGCGAGAGCTCATCGGCCGCAAAGAAGACCGGCTCGGCAGATGTGCAATCCGTCTTGCAACGCGTCGATGCCATCTACGACCAGCAGCATAGTTCCTGCTCATCCAATGGCAGGCGCGTCATCAAGGTGTACACCGACGGCGCATCTCACGGCAATGGGAAAAAGGGCGCCACTGCCGGATGGGGCGTTTACTTTCCAGACGAAGACCTTGCATACTTGTCGGAAGCAGGAAGACTGCAAGGCCGCGTCATGACCAACAATCGAGCCGAGCTGATGGTGAGGCAGCGGCAGCAGCGCTCCCCTCTCTCTCACGCCTCGCTGACCGCCGCACCAGCCTTTTCGCTCCTCCCACCCCCTCCCCTTCAACAAGGCCATCATACGTGCTTGTCAATTGTGTCCTGATCCGAAAGCTCATCTGATCATCTACACGGACAGCCAGTACTGCATCAAGGGTGAGACACGCGTTCGCAATAACTGCTGACCAAAACCTGAACGTCGAGGCGGTGCTTGCGTTCCCACACACAGTCATCACACAGTGGCAGCGAAAATGGCGAAAAGATGGGTGGATGACGTCGGGCTTGGTGTACAGACATGGTGTTTTGCAGCCAGACAGCGCAGAGCCCAAGCCGGTGGTGAACAAGGACCTGATCAGAAGATTGGAAAGGGAATTAAGCAGTCGAGAGATTCGACCAGCATTGATTCACATCAAGGGACACGCCGGACATTCCGGAAATGAGGCGGCGGACAAGTGAGAGTTGAACGAGCGATCCGAGAGAGGCGAGGCGAGGCGAGGCGAGGCGAGGCGCCAGCCTTGTTGAAGCCAGGCACATCTGATATCTTGTTGCCGCCCCCATCAGACTTGCGGGGGAAGGTGCTCGCAAGCCGGCCGTACCAGAAGAAGAGTGGGAGAGCATAGAGCCTTCCTCCTCTGACGACGAGCGAGTTGATCGCCATCGAGCGACGAAGAAGACGTTGGCAGCGTACGCAGCTGCGAATGCCCGTGCACCCGCACTCACAAAGGGCGATGCTGGCCGTGCCTCTCATCGTGCCACCGAGGCCGAATTGGACGCCTTTGCCGCCATCAACGCTGCTGCTGCTTCGAGAGAAGAGAAATCGGTCGCTGCTCAACATTCTGAAGAGGTGGCCGCCGCGCTGGGTTTCGAGGTGAGTCGGCAGAGACTGACTGACGCTGACGAGGCAGGCCTTGATGTCTCCACTCACTCACGCACGCACGCACGCACGCACGCACGCACGCACGCACGCGCCTCTATCCTCAGCTCGATGCTGACGACCTTCTCAGTGAGGCAGAGCTGGAACACTTTGAGCGTGGTGATGTGAGCGACCAAGATTCGGCGGACTCTTGCACTGAAGAAGAGGGTGAGCCGTCGCGCCAGCATCCAAGCGGCGCCTCTCACCCTTACCCAAAGAGGGAATCATCGGGAGGTTCTGAGACGGCAAAGCGTTTGCGAACTTGAAGAGAGTCGCGCATCTCGACGTGCGACGTGGCTTGCAGACTTTGGCACGCTTGCTGTGTATTGCGCCTCATCGAATACAAGTCACGTAGCATCCAGAAAGTTGTCTCTACTTGTTATCGCGGCTGATTGATTATATTGTGAATGATCTACAGTACATGTCTTTGGGAGCGAAAGATGAGCACCTGCGCTTCATCGCTGCTGGGCGTTGCAGCCATCACGACGACGGTGAGACGTCGGCGCGCGGAAACGCTAATCGTAAAAGGCCCGTCCCTCTGCTGTTTTAAACTCTCGATGCGCGATTTCAGCATGTACCTGTACCGTGTACATATGTAGCCAAAAATGGCTTTGCTCCACTTGTTCGAATCTACAGCAGCGTCGTGCGCCGCCGCTGCTCGGGTCACACCACCGTGCTGCTGCTGCTGCTGCTCCTGCTCCTGCTGCTCCTGCTGCTGCTTGGTGGGCGCCGTCTGCTGCACAAGCACGCTGGTCCAGCATGCACGCACGAGGTGGTTGGTGCGCTGCGCTGCGCTCGCTCGAGACGATTGTAATTCAGCAAATTGATGGGGCTCTTTCTTCGAAGTGCCATGACGTGCTGTCAGGCTGCGTAGCGATCAAGCAGAATTGTTGCATCTCGCCTGGATCTCGATCGCGAGCTTGGATGGGGTGCCGCCGGGCCGGCCAAAGTCGCGGGCGGGGTGAGTGCCGACTGATGGAGGAAAGTCATGGCTGCGCGAGCTCAAGGCTTGGCCATGCAAAGAGTGGCCGGCCCTGCCCGCCCGGCCCTCCCCGGCCCTTGACCGACTTGACACGACGGCCGGCCGGGGCTTCACAATCACGAATCAGAATGAGAATCGAATCACGAAATGTCTGACTTTAAAAAAGAAAAACATGTAAGTGAGCGGACGGGCGAAAGGGCGAGGGGGGAGGGGGCAGCCCTTTTCGTAAGGGCTGGCCCGCACTACAGATTGACCAGTCACATTCGTCGTGCTTCCTTGCACGAACCCGAGCCGAGCCGGCGGCAGAAGATATGTG